TCTGTCCAACAAAACCTTCAAGGAGGATTTGAGTACATTGGGGTCCGATGACTTTATTTATATGACTGTTTAACCAGGTCAAATTCAAACATTATCGAGTTCATTTAAGGATAGCTCTTTCAAAATGTGTATTTTTGCATTTACATGAATTTGAACTTAGGATATCATATTTATGTGGCTATAGCCTTTTTCATTAGGACCAACACCTGTCGGTACTGGATCCAATGTCTTTAAATTCATGAAGAATATTTGAACAAGCCCAAAAATACTAATAATTGGGGGAAAATACAACTATTGATCCTTATAGTTTTATTGTGCTTTGTTATTAGTCCTTGTACTTTGTTTTTATTGCTCTAAGTCCTTATAGTTTTTCTTGTTTGCAATGTTAGTCCCTTTATTTTTAAATATGCCTAGAAGTAGGGGGTGAAAATAGGTTAGATATAGATAGGATTTGGCTAAATAAGCTTGAGCTTATGTGATAAGTCGGAGGCTTAAGTCTGGCCTGAAGCTATATAAGGCTTTTGAATGACTCAGGTCTAAAGCTATCTAAAGCCTAGCTTTGTTTAAAAGCCTATTTCAAAGCCTACTTAAATAGGTTTGCATTTTAGATTTAAACATCTCAAATATAGTTTAGGGATATTATAGTATACAATATATAATTTGATTTATTAATTACAACATATGATAATTGAAATGACTTTCTAACTACAATATAATATAACAATAAAATAGCAACATTAAAGTAACTATATAAGTCTAATGTGATTGAAAACATAAATAAAAATAAAAATGAATAGATTGATTAAAAATCAAATGATAAAACTGATGTGTTTATGATATATTACATAATGTATGCATGTGTGTGTAAATAGGCTAATTTATTATGCTCATAGACTAGGTCTTAAAAAAATAGGCTTAGCCTATTTAACTAAATAGGTCTAATTAAAGATATAAACCTGACTTGAGCCTATTTAGTAAATAGGCTAAATTACACTTGAAGTAGGTCAAATTATAGGCCTCTATTAGAAACCTAACTTATTCCCACCTCTACCTAAAAGGACTACGATGTGACACTAACAGTATTAAGTTATATGACATGTAACTCATGGTGTTAAATTGAATTAGTGTTAAAATAAGAAAGAAAGAGAAAGAGCAATCACAAATACAAAGTAACGAATATAGCATGAAGAAATTGAAGATTATGCTTGACTACATGAAGACAAAAAAAAAAAGGAAAAGAAAAGAAAAGAAAAAAGAAAACACACACACACACAAACAATAAAATATAACAGCCAATGGCTACAAAATTGGAAAAAAGAAAGAAAAAAGAAATATCTCAGTGTGGTGAATGAAATAAAAAAATAGGAAAAACAAACGAGTCTGAAATTTGTAAGAATGAACCAAATAAAATTTTAACTCTGTTTGATGCATAATAAAATAATATTAGTTACACATCAAGTAATTTAACACTGTTAGTGTTATATCATCATTTCTATGGGCATATTTAAAAATAGAGACTATCATCAAATACAAGAAAAAAAATATAAGGGTTTATGGCAATGAAATATAAGTACAATGACTAATTATAGAACACAATAAAAGTATAAGGTCTTTGGTTCTAATAGAATGCAAGATGATTTTCATAACTAATGCCTTGGTTGGTATGGTAAAAATAACTTTAATGGAAATAAAAATAGATATAGAAGTAGAGATGGATGTGAGATTTAAAAATATATTTAGTATGTTCATAGAATTGAAATATTATTTTTATTCAACATTAATCTTAAAAACATGAAAAGGCTAAAATGCCCTCATCCCAGAAAAAAATTTGCCCATTCACCAAAATAAGAAATTTGCCCCAACATAGATTGAACGAACACCTTGTAACTTAGATCGATGAAGAAGATGAAGCATATGGCAGAAGAGATGCAAGCCTTGGTTTTGTCCTCTCAAGTCTCTTCACCAAAATGTTGTCTTCCTAAAAGAAAAATGATCCTACCCACAAATTCAAGAATGAACCACCACGAACAATCTTCACAAGACTTTTGCCTGAAAAGAAGAAGATCGAGCTTCTGTCAAGATTTTTATGTTGAAGAAGCTCAAGTTTAACTTAAAGAAGATTGTTGCTAGATTCATGTTTTAAGGTTCATCATCCTTGCTCTTTGATCTCATGTGAAGCCTTCATTGTCGCCGCTGCTGTGAAAAAGAAGACCTACTATTAGCAGGAGAGATTGTGAAGTTGCTGGAGGTCGCCGGAGATCTTGGTTCATCCTCACCGTTTGTAGAACCTAGTTCATCCTTGCCATTTACAGAGAAGGTCACCATTAATTTTTATAAGTAATTGATTGTCTATTTGATAAGTTTCTTTTGCATACAAAATGGATCATTAATTTTTTTTTCAATTTTACACTTTATTATTTTTTTAAATAGACAAAAAAGTTACATATAAAATACAAAATTATCTTTTAAATATGATGCATTTAACAAAGGTAAATATATTTTTTTCTTTTTTAGACAAAATTAATTATTTAACTGCATCTTCTTAATTGTAAAGAGATGGTTAAAAATGATTTATATATAGAACGAGAGAGTACTATAATATTAGTTGTATTATTTATTAATTTAAAATCATTATTTAATATATATATATATATACACACATAATTTTTATTTAATTTTACTTTTGGTTATAATTGTAATTTATAAATGACATAAATTATAGTATAGAGTTTAATGTAGTGTGTGTGTGTGTGTGTGTGTGTGTTTTATGATGATGCTTGGGCCAACAAATTTAAAAAAAAAAAGTTAAATATATTTTAATTTTTAGGAGGAGAGAAATTTTAAAAAATCTATTTACATTTTTTAATCTACATGAGATGCTAATATATATATTAAAAAGTTACCCTTATAATAAGGGTAACATATTGCCCCAAAAAAAAATAGAACTGTTGTTTAGATTTTAATTTACACGGGACAATCAATGATGGATCCGAGAATATTTCTTGTGAGCAAATTTTTTTTTTCTTTGATTAATTATGAAGGGAGAACTCAGTAGGAAGTATATTTTTGAACTAGATTTCATTTTTTTCCCCCAAGCTTGGAGGGAAGTTTCACCTTCTCGGGTGATATCGATTCTATTGAAAGTTAGATCTCCAGCTTCTGCTGAAGAGGATTCTGTTAGATGGCGTCCCACGGTTGATGGTGGGTTCACGGTTAAAAGTGCTTATGATTTCCTTTCCAAGGCTGGTGATCGGGGACAGTCCACTTTATGGTGCAAGTTATGGAAATGGCAGATCCCAGAGAAAGTTAAATTCTTTATGTGTGGCAAGTTTGCCATGAAAGCTTAATGACCAACTCACTCAGAGTTAAATGAGGTTTATCAAACACTTGCCTCTGTCCCTTTTGAGTGTAATTGTGAGGAGTCCATGCTACATCTTGAGAGATTGTGAGAGAGCCATAGGGGTGTGGTTTAATATTTTGAACACTAACGCTCTGTCTAGGTTTTTTTCACTGTGAATTTACAGGTATGGCTGTACGGGAACTCGACTCATCAGCCAGAAAAAGGGATCTTTGCAACAGTCTGCTGGTTACTCTGGACGTCGCGGTGCAAGGGATTTCAGACACTACGATGGAGATTATTCACAGATGCAAGTTCATGCTTATGGAAACTACTGACAACATCGGGATCTTCCAAACTTTCCAGCCACCTGAGCAGCTCTGGACAGCCCCTCCAATGGACTGGATTCATGTGGACGTGGATGGATCAGCTCTTGATAATCATCGTGCCGCATGTGGAGCAGTGCTCAGGAACCATAAGGGAGATTAGATTGTAGGATTCCAACATGACTTGGGCTTGTATGCTCTATTACTGAGGCAGAATTAAGAGCAATTAAGGCTGGGCTGAGAGTCGCCAAACAACTGAAGATGCCTTGGATTAAACCTTACTCTGATTCGACTGAAGCCCTTAATCTGCCCAGGCGTGATTCCTTGGTGAACCACCCTTTGAGGACAGTAATTCACCCTCATCCCTATATATAAGATATTTTTAATGTTTTTGACTGAATCTCACATACTAATAAATGTTTGTTGTTTAATTGAACTCAAATAAAAGTATAATATTTTTTAATTTTACTCCTAATAATATTATAATTAATACCATGATGGTAGTAGAAAAAACATACAATTAATCATCTATTTTATCTTTCAAGACAAAGGTAAAATTATTTAATTATTTAAAATATCATTATCACTTCTTATATTTAAGAATAAAATAAACTTTTAAAAAATATTTTATATATAAACGCGGAAGGAGTATGTTATTTTAGTCGTGAGACCACTATATGTGCGGACTTTATGATGAAGACAGCACAAGTGATTGTGCTGAGATGGTGCTTATTAATGACCTTCCTGCTGGGTGTTTGTGTATGATCCTTGCTGATCAGAGAGATGCTGGTTCATCGGTTAACCAATTATATTTGAATTCTGGTTCTAGACTTTAGTATCTAGTTTTTATCATCCAAACCTTGGCTTGCCTTTGTAGCTTTTAAAAAAAAAAAAATCCACAAATTAATCAAAGAAAAGTTGAAAATATACCACAAAAATAACACATCCTAAGATAAAATATAAGAAATAATTTTTACCTTTAATATGCATGAACAAAACAATTTTTAATATGATATTTTGAGTACACAAATGAATTATTTTTTAATTTATAAATTTTATTTTACTTTTTTCTTTGTGCATGGAGAATAAATCTGGTTTAAGAGACGATGCAATTGAAGGTGAATTTGCCAGTGTCACCTTCCCCCTGATTTTCTTGAGAAATAAAAAGAAAGGTTGGAAGACCTAAATCAATGACAACCACAACGCACAAAAGACAAACTTCCCACCTCTTGAATTGAATGCATCAAATCAAATGCACGAGCTAAAACCTAAATGGTGTGCCATTCACCAGACCCGGAAGTTCAAAACCCAAGACTCAACGTTGAGGAAACATCATGTGGCAGAAAATCATGGATCATGAAACGTCCAGCTCAAATATTGTACAGACACCATGTTGATATTGTCTCAAAAATTCCCGTTATGGGAGAAAGAAAATAATTAAACAGAACAGACAGCTAAGAAAGTCGGTTTACATATTGCCCGATGGAAATGCAAATTACAAGCTAATAATTCATACCTATTTCTAGTTATAATACAAGTAACAGTACAGAGCTCACCGGACATCATAGTTGCCCACATCTTGATCCTGGAGCCCTCAAAGTACAGAAGATTATGTTGTTCATAATACAAAATTGTGAAAACTTTCACCTTTGCAATCTACAAGAATCTGGGAGACAAACAAATGGAGGTTTAGAACTGACAAGCCTAAACATGATCATTTGCTTCAACAGCACCACTGAATTCCAGATTGCCATCAGAACAGTTATGTCCATGACCACCTGCCGTTAAAGTGTGTCTCATGGAAGACAGTGCAGATCACAGATGTGAAAAAAATATAAGCAATAGACCAAGTCTTACTTCTTGCGTCCCCTAGCTTTATTAACTCTAACAAATCTTCGACCAGACTTGTCGCCGCCTCCAGTACCTAACGAGAAACTTCCAGTGCCATTGACCTCTAGACTGCTAGAAGCCTGAAATGGGGTTGGGCTCTGTGGAGCAATATTCTGCTGAGTCCCAAACTGGAAGGGACTAGTTCCCGATGGAGCTGGTGCTCCAAAAACAAAATTTGATTGAGGCGCGGCAGGTTGTTGACCAAATGCAGGAGTCGCAGGAGTCACAGGTGAAGATGAATGAACAGGGTCCTCTGCCATGCTGTCTTCCATACTCATCTGATCGTTATTAATCGAAGCAGCTGAACCAAATGAGAAAGCAGGATTACAATTACCAAAAACAGGTTGTGTGGAGGTAGCCATTGCAGCTGAAGTAAATGAGAAAATGGAACTCGTTGATGCACCAAGTGATGATCCAAACAGCGGTGTGCTAGTAGTGGACGCAACAGTGGATGATCCAAACATGGGTGTGCTGGTAGTGGAAGAAACAGAAGCAGCGGATGATCCAAACATGGGCATGCTGGTAGCGGCGGAAACAGAAGCAGCGGATGATCCAAACATGGGCATGCTGGTAGTTGCAGAAACAGAAGCAGCGGATGATCCAAACATGGGCATGCTGGTAGTTGAAGTAACAGAAGTGAATGATCCAAACATCGGAGTGCTAGCAGTTGAAGCAATAGAAGCAGCGGATGATCCATATATGGGTGAACTAGAAGTAGACGAAACAGAACCACTTGACACTCCAAAGGAAAAGCCAGAAGAAGATGAATTAAATGTGGAACCAAATGGAGACTTGTTGGCCTGCCAACTAGAGGCCCCAAACAAACCAGAGGTTGCCCCACTGTTAGAGCTACCACTGTTGGCTGTTGATAGGGAAGCAGAGGTGCTGAGCCCAATGGAGGAGCCAGGAATAAAAGCATCTGCCACTGAACTAGATGGTGATATTGAACTCCCTGAAGAAAACGATGTATTCCCACTCAACCCAAACAAAGGAGATGAAGCAGATGATCCAAATGGAATTGGCTGGCTCTGAGTGGAAGTGGCAAACACACTCATGGCAGCAGAACCATGGGCACCAGGCAGAGATGTGCTTGAGCCGAATAAAGAACCCTGAGTTTGACTATTTACAGTTGTCATTGCCGAGGAACTGAGCCCAAAAATGCTGTTCCCTGGAGCCCCAACGACAGCAGCAGGTGTGTTTCCAAAAGCAGAACTGCCTAGAGTACCAGAACCTGTATCCTGCTTCCCAGAAGACAACAAGGGTGAATCTGTTGTCAAGTTCGGAGAAGATCCAAATTTGAAAACAGAAGGGGTTTGTGAGGTTGCAGCTGCTGAGGAGGAAGTACCAGTAGTACTGGATGCAAAAGTGATAAGGGGGCCGCTAGTTGTCATACTGGTGCTAGAGGAAGCTGCAGTGGCACCACTACTGCTATTGGCCCCAAGCGGTGAGCAACTGAACATATTTTGGCTAGTAAAATTATTTGAAACAAAAGTTGGAAAAGAGGTAGAAAATGAAGTTTCTGAAGCAGAAGGGCCATTGTTTTGATTTAAACTTTGGCCAAAAGAGAATATACTTGTGGGTGGTGTCAACGATGATGTTGATGCTGCAGATGAAACAGCCAATTCTGATGATTGAGCCAAAAAGCCAGAATTCAAGCTGGAGTTCACATTAGCATTATCTAATGCAGGAACCTTCAGCATAGATTCAGTTGCACCAGTGACAGTTGAGCTGTATATTTAACAGATATTTAGTAAATGAATAATCTTGATGCCTCAATGGACATGACTTATTCGGTTTATATTATGCAGTGCATTGAAAATAAACTAGAGAATAAGACAATTTAAACACAACATACCAGTAGTCAAATTGCTATATAATGAAAAATTTCACCTCCAAATATAACTGAACAAAGAACAGGATGGCCTTAAAAACCAATATCATTCAAAGAATTTATGACTTGATGTAAGATTACAGATGAAAAGAAAAAGCTTTAACAAATCATAATATGGTTAAGGATTCAAAGGTGTAAGAACATAAATAATGGCCAAAAAAGCATATAGAAAGAATGCAGAATGGTAGGAAAAAAAACAGCATGAAAAGAAAAGGCATGTCCTTGATGAATTAACTCACAATAATCTATATAACCACTAACGAGTAAAACTACTTTAATTTACTATATTAGAAACAACCACATGATTCCAGTAAATTGGCATCCTATTTCTAATAAAATAGAAAGTCTGCTTCAAACTGACTTGGAAAGATCCCAAAGTGCCCATCCCCTCCTTGCACAAATCGTCCAGTAAATTACATTCTAATTCTAATAAAAGAACTAAACAACTCCAATAAACAATGAAAATTACAATGGTAAACATCATGAATAGTTAAGATATTTGCCCAAAGCATCAAATAGTACCTGACCGAGTTCCCAAGCTTTGAGTCAGAAGCAGGACCAAATTTCATACCAACAGATTCAGCACCAACAGAAGATAAGGAGGTCAATGGCACTTGCTGGACCTTATCAAAACTTTTGCTGGCACCAAAGTTAAATAGTGGAACATCAGCCACAGACCCCTTTGGTGAAACAACTTTGTCTCCAAAACTAAATAGTGAACCCAGTTTGCTTGACTCCTTTGGTGGAGTATCAACAGCTGCCGCTTCTGTTGAGGAAGTCACTTTACTTCCAAAATTAAACAAGGGAGGAGCAGCAACAGATCCATTTAGTGAAGAAGATTCACCAGAACCAAAGATTGACTCTGAGACCGCTGCAACTGTGGCTCCATCTGGCTTAGAAGTCACAGCAGGGGAAGATGAAGTTGTAGATGTTGATAAACCAACCTTTTCACCGACTATGGACCCATCACCAGTACCATTAGGAGTCTGGTCATCTACTCTGGAACTTCTGAATGAGATTGCCACAGGTGATGCACTAGGCACCTCCTTTGTAATGGTTTCAGTAGCAACAACTCTCTCAGCCACAATAGTAGAGTCTATCATTTGTTTCTCAGAGGATAAAGAAAACACAGCCCCGTTTGGACACACATCATCATCCAGATCGAGACACTACTTTGAGAGAGAGAAGATAGTTAATGGTCACGACACTACTTATTCAGTTTAACTCATTGAACAATTTCTCTATTAATAAACTATTATTCCAAAGCTAAAGGAGATAGAGCTTCAAGTGCCGCCATGTGTAGGAGTTAAAAAAGTTCTTTCTAAAGAAATGTTCAAGATTAAGTACAGAAATAACTTTAAATACTGCAATATAATTATGACATAACTGCTCGAGTATAGAATTCAATCATCACAGTCGATGTTAAAGATGAAATATGATAACAATCCATAAAGGTTCAAGTCCACATCCAAAAAGATGTGATAACTCTGAAATTCTTATAGGAAACATCATACATCTATTCAGTATATCACTTATGTAACATTCCAATTCAAGCATGCATATAAAGAAAGACTATCAAATGAAAATTTAGAAGATACCCAATTGACTTGAATCAACAAGTTTGACAAGACAGCGCCACAGGGTAAACATATTTTATTGGAATGGTAAGCAACTGCAGTGAGTCAGCATATTTTAAAGCCATTACTTCCTTTTTGGCACTTTCAAATTCATTGTCAGAAACTAAAGAATAGATAGCAGGAATGAAGAAAGCTGAGGTTTCAGTCAGGTAGCTGAGGTGCATGCCAGGCTGAAGGAGCCTCCCTTCAATCATCAGCAGGTGAGGGCCCCCCCTTGCACCTCACCTCAGCAACCCAGGTATGCCTTTTAGCACCTTTAACATCACTACTTCTCAGAGTAAAAACATCCAATACAATGCCCAGTTTAAGATATCAAAATTAGGTTATTCCAGAAAAAACCATGATTCATGAGGTCAAGCAAATCTTCATACCTCATGTGCACTCATACGGAATGCCCTGCTCTTTTGTGGAGGATGAGAAACAGACTTCACCATGGAAGAATCCATAGATTGTGCACTCGATACAATTTCTTCCCTTGCTATTGAAGCATCTGCATCAATAACTGGACCTAAGCCAACAGAAGCGACAAGCTTTAATGGACCGTGTTCAAGCTTCTCCTTTGCTGTAGTCAACATTTTAGTGTTCGCTGAAAAATTCTCATGCAAACCATTCAAATTATTATCTTGTAAGTGATCATGGAATTTTGATGAATCTACGGTTTCCATACTTCTAAGAGCCTGTCCCCGTAACATGGATGGTGACAACTTTGCGGGTGAATTATCCTTGTCTGCTAGCAGCTTCAGTTCAGATGATTTTTCTTTAGGGGACACCAACTTGTCAAGCTGCTGAAGTATTTTTGTGGCCATATCACTTGATTTGGAGGATATATGAGGAACACTTGTGCTAGGAATTGTGTCCTTTATATTTTCTGATGACAGTTTCTTATCACTATGCTTAGCTTCATTCAACAGAAGAAGCTTCTGCTGATCAGCACGAACTCCACTCTTAATAAAAGATAGAGGGCTATCCGAAACAGACGCACTCAAGCCTCTAGAAGTTATAAGATTAGACTTCTGACGGATTCTGCGCATATGACCAAGAGATCCTATATCATTATCCAATACAGAACTCCTCCGTTTCAATGCCTGCATTAAATAGAAAAGTTTCCAGTGAGATAACTGACAGGAAATTAGAATATTTTCAGTTGTAGAGTAAGACTTGTACTGTTTTCTTAGATCCAGAAAGCAAGTCATGATCCAGTGCAGACTGGGCTGAGGAAGAAGGCCCGCCTTCAACTGGAAGTTGAACACCCTGGATTTTAGGGAATATAATAAGATTTTTGACATTAAGAAACAAAAACAACACAACATGTCATTAAATAAAATGCAAACCTTTGGTGTTGAGGTTGGATAAACCCTGGCATAAGGTGTTTGAGCCATGCTATATATTGCAGATCTACCTCGAGATCTTGGTGTCACAAAACCGTTTTCATGAAGCCTGTCATGGCCAGTAGCCCTTGGCACAATGGACATAATAGGGGATTTTTGAGGGATATATTGACTGCTTAGAAGAGTTGGATCCTCCCTGAGAGAAAGACTTTGTGAGTTTAACTTTGATGGGGATACCTTGGAAGGCCTACTTCCCATGTAAGCCTTTGCAACCTCTGTAGGGGAAGCAACATCCTTATCAATGACCTGTGGCACATTTTTATAAAAAAATCAGCGAAACCCCATCTAGAGAGAACCATAAAGCATATATGACAACATGTGCAAAAGGTTAATTCTCATACACTCGAAGTCACAAATGGAGTTGAAACAAGACGGTTTTCAATCCCATTTTTTACTGCCGGAGAATTGGGGTATTCTTCTTTCTGCTCACGAGACAAAATTAGATCTGACGTAACCACTTCAGTCCTCTTTTCTTCATTAGTGACAGGTAAATCCAGAGTTTTTGAACGCAAAAGTGCTGTCAAATGATCAATTTCAGATCTGTGGAATAATAGAAAATTATCATATCATCACAGAGAATCAACAATTAGACTTATCCCAAAAAGCATACCACCAAAATACAAAATTTTGCCTACAGATATTATTATTATTAATGTAAGACTCTAATAAGCAGCAATATTCATAAATCATCAATGAAACTCATTTCTCAAGCTTTGTGCAACACAGAACTCCCACTAGTTAAGTACTTTTAAATAATTAAGTAATTAAGTAAATTATACCCATTATGCAACAAGAAATACAACTACGCATTTACCATAGGCAATTCAAATCAAGTCGGCTGCTAGAACAAATAAAGGAGAAAAATCCAAGTCATTAGGACATTAATTCACTAATAATTTAAGAAAAACCACCAACGAACACATTCCTATACATAATATATGAGAGAACATAAAATTCAAAATCAAGTCAACTTAAAACTGCCAGTACAGCCCATATTCAACAATGTATCATCATAATCAGCAGCTTCAGCACTTGTTTGATTATCCATTCTACCTGTCTGGAAGGTCACAAACATCAAATAACAAATCCACAAGTTCTTCTCACATTGCCATTATATTGGTTGGAAGAAATACAACTCCAGGTTCATGAGGTATGTTCTCTCAAGAGTCAAGATTCCAATCTCTTACTCTCTTCAAACACAAATAAAGAGGAGGTCCTTATTGACAAGCTCACATGGGAATCCAAAACTTCAAGTTCATACATTTGGGCAACATCATTCAATATAATGAGTTAACAAAAATACATTGTAGGCTACCATAACTCAGCTCTATCCCACTGCCTCCCAACATGCATGTTGCTAAGTCCAAAAAGTCAACAGCAGACAGCAGCCCTTATCTCATGAACAAGCATTCTGTCATTATTAGTCATTGTAAACACAGGTTATGTTCTTTCACCTTGAAGTGTTCTACCATGAAAAGTTTACAACGTTAGGGCATGAAGGAAAAACTTTTTAGTAATGTGCAGTCCAATTACACCACCGGGCTTTTGAATTGGAGCTCAATGCCCATGTTTCTAAAAGGTCTCTTATCCCTTAAATATAACATTGGCAAAGGACTGTATACAGCCTATCACAAGTGCTATACTCACTGTTTTATTAAGATGATAACCAATTGTATACATGGGGAAATTAAAAAGTCTTGTAACATTTGCATGCCTCTTTATATATCTTCTATCCTGTATTCCTGTTCCATTCCGTTTGGGAGGACAACCAACACTTCATAATTTGACTTCTCTAACCTGTACAATGGAATTTCTCTTCATCCCAAAATAATAACATACAAAAAAATCATGAATTCATTGCACATTATACGGTTGAGACATGTTGTGGTCACCAAGCTGAAAAATTATTTCTTTGTTCAAAACGTCTAAGCGTATATTGGTTGTGTCAGCAGTGGTAGAGTCAAACATGCCAATATATGTGCCAAAGCTTCATGGACAAAATGCTCTTCATGCAATAATTCTAAAAAAGAAATTATCACAGAAATGAACAATATATTTGATCAAAAATAGCTTATATGGATCCTTCAAAAATATTCCATTTACTTGCATATTTGTTTGCACATCACTGGAATCAAAGAGCATGATGTCAAAGAAATCTGTAATTGATACAGATGAAAACTTAACAGCCACAAGTTCAACACACACAAGATTAAAAGCAATGGTGCAAAGCTAATAAAGCTTGCCTGGTAAAAGTCTTCTGCTTTAGCAATTTCTCAAGCTCAGTAAATCCACCACTCTCAGAACAATTGATTTGATTATCACTTTCAGAAACCGCTCCTTGCTGCTTGACAGAATCATCATTGGTAGCCTTTGTTGCAAACAGCCAAAAAGAACCAACAATAGAAATCACATAAATAACAACTGTTTAACCATAATACAAGGACTGTAAGGAAACCACACCAAGCATGTAGATGCTTACAACTACCTGATTCAAAAAAATAGTTTGTAAAGCAACACAATCCACAATAAAGATTCTTTTATTCTGTCAACTACAACTTGCCCCCAATTCGGGAAAGAAATTATAGTAAGCATAATAAAACACTTACAGCTTCCATCAAGAATCAGAAAACCGTTCATGAACTTAAGAATATAACTTATATTAAAAGACAAGAATATATATTCCCATACTAGTCAGTTGAAAAAATCATTATACTTGCAGTCCATTACACAACAAAGCAATTTGGAGCTTTTACACTGTGCCAAAAACAATGTGAGCTGTTGAAAAATCTTCTAAATTAAAGGGAGTGTTGAAGAATAATGACTATAAGAATCTGTATGAGAGTTGTAGTTTATTCCTTCCTGTCTAATCCTCTTCAAGGACCAGAAGATTATTTTTTAGATTCAGAATTATCCAGTTTTGTATCAATAATAATAAGTAGGGGCTTCAACCAAGCAGTTTTGTGTGCACGGCTTACTAAATGGTGTTGAAACATATCAAAAGCATGCATACTTACAACGGCAGTAACATCCTGTTGATTGTCCCTTATTTCCTGCTCCGCTTCTGGGAAAGAAGATACCCATGTAACATGTTAGAACAAAAACAAAGGCATGGCACAGTGTAATTTCATATAAAAGTTCAACCCAACCTAAAAAAAAGTAAATCACAGAAAAGTTCACAATTCATCAGATGACTTAGGCACACCTTTATGACAATCTACCACAGCCATAATAAGGATAAAAATCATGCATTTTCCTTCTATTACTAATGAGGGACAGATTATGCCGTGTTACAGCTAAAAGATGTTGAGACTTGAGACATTGATACCAAACATGCATCACAAAAGAAAGCAGAAGAATGAAACCTTGTTCAGTCCATTACATACATTAATACACCAAATGCGGGGCAATCTAAAATCCCACTCAATGTAAATTAGAAACATCCAGTAGTGCAGTACAATGAACCAGGCCAGTCTAACTTAGACATTCAATGAGAAGAGAAGACGTACGGATTTTCTCATCAGCAAGTACTTATGTTGGACCAAATACAATCCGTCTAAATCAAGTAACCAACCAACCAACAAAGTCTCTAAATTAGTGCTTCAACAATGCGATACAGAACCGAGACCATTATGAGACTCGCAACAAAACCAACATGAGTGCCTGACAACTCTCTAGCACAGCACTATACAAAAATGTGTACAAATATATGACTTTACTAAAGTTTCCAGACAGGAGGGCATTAACTATTCATCGTATCCTCATCAATAAGCAAGGGAAAAGATTTTCCACAAACCTCCAAGAGAAATGAACAATTGGGAGGCATATTCTGAAAATGAATACCAAAAACAACAGCAGACAATACCACTGTAAGTCTTGCATAATAAATTGAAATTTTGTTGCCCAAAATATATTGAAATTTTGAAAGAACCAAATGAACCAATTACAGCGGATAACAGGACAGATGGCACACGACAGAAAATATCAATTACAATTATTGGAAACTACACATGCTCTTTAGGATTCTACTTTGCAGAGTCTTCGTTTTGTTAAACATAATATGCATAAAAATAATGCATTTGAAACTATTAGGTTCAACTAAATTGAATAGAAAGACAAGAAGTTCTCGTGCATTTGTAAATATCACACAATTAACTCAAATTCAAGGAGTTCATGAAGGAGGAAATAAGCATATTAACTATTAAAATATAACTCTCGCTAATTGCATTAAAATAATAAAAAAAAACTCGAGATGACAACAAGGGGGAGAGAAGAAAGAGAAATATGCCTAACACCATAGCAACAAAAGATGTGGTCCAACTGTGTCAAAGCCTACACCAATAAAATTCCCTCATAAACCCTACCAATGTCAATAACTAAAGAAAGTTCTGAAACCCATACGGGAGAAAGCCTCATAATTAAAAAAAAAATCGACGAAACAAAATTGGAAAACAGAGGAATTAATATACAGCATAAATGAAAACCTCCCCCTCCCAAATTCAAAGAAGTTGCTAATTCCAATTATTGAAGAGGAACCAAAAATAATAATAAAGAATGCATGCAGACAAACGAACCTGAAGGTAACGGATTTGGCGGAGAGGGGGAAGTAGGAGGGGGAGGGGGACGAAGGCGCTTGCGGAAAACAGATGAAAACAGCATGTGGGCACCGGTAGTGATAAGCCTCTGCGCCGGATCGACAAGCTTTGAGAGCCACCCGTAATTGCGGCTAGTGCTAGGGTTTCTCAGGGCCGTCGGGGGACGATCGTACGGCGTCGTCTGGTTCCTCCGGAAAGGACGCTTCCGGAATTTGCCTCCGGCTCCCAAACCTCCCCCTTCGTAGGGCTTTCCTTCACGCGCCGTCGCCATAGGAGAGAGACAGCAAGTAGAAGCTTGAAATGAGCAGAGGACGAGAGAGGGAAAGTCCAAGCCTGCAAATTAGGGTTTTAAATCGAGGAGCGAAAGAGAGAGAAAGGGGGAAATGAAAAGGGAATAATATACTCAAATAACTGTAGGTGGTTCTCTGGGAAAGATAATATATTAAAAAAAGAAAAAGAAAAAGATTCTATTTTGTTGTCAGAAATATTTCCAAAAAATTACATTAAAATTAAAATTCTTATTAAATCAAAAATAAATGCTAAAAAATTCTAAAAATAATTTTTAGGATAAAATTTATAAATTCTCCTGAAATTTAAAACAATTACATATAACTCTCCTCACTTTTAAAATTTTAAAATTAACATCCCTAACATTTAATTTTATTTTTCAAAACATCATATTATTAAATATATTATTTTTTTCATGAGTGCTACAATGTCATTTAACTAAAAAAATATTATTAAACAAAAAATTATATTGTATAATTATTTATAATAAGTTTCTTATATTTTCAGAATAGTTGAAGTATTGATAACAAAAAAAATGTTACTATTATTGTATAAAATTTTAAATATTTATGCTTATATTAATTTTATCTATATTTTTTATTACCAATGGTGCATGATTTTATTAGTTTAAAAGATAAATTTTTATTTACTCTTCATCTTAGACAATTATTACCATGTTAGATAAAATTTATTTAATGTTTTTATCTAACATTGTAATATTTAAAATTTTAAATATTTTAATCACGTACATTACATTAATTTAATATAAAAAATAAATAAAAATTTATCATTTAAAACAATAAAATCATGTGCCATTAATAATAAAAAAATATGGATAAAACTGATATAAACATAAATATTTTATATAGTGATAATAATATTTTTTTATTATTAATACCTCAACTATTCAAAAAATATAAGAAATTTATTACAAATAGTTATATAATATAATATTTTTGTTTAATAATATTTTTTAATTAAATGACATTTTAACCCTCATAAAAAATAACATAATTAATAATAGGGGTTTTGAAAAATAAAATTAAAAGTTAGAGGGATTAATTTTAAACTTTTAAATATGAGAAAAGTTTTATACAACTGTCTTAAAATTCAGATAAATTTTATACATTTTAATCTAATTTTTAAGAAGTTGAAATGAAATTTTCAATATAAAATTTTTAAATCTTGGTCTTGATTTGTAACTTTCCCAAACAGTTTATTTTTTGTCACCCCAGTCACTGGGAATTAATGTCTCCTCTGCTCAGGGACAAAATTATTAATTACTAATTACTGACCAGTTTTTTTTAAAATTTTACTGAACAGTTATTTTCAGATTGAATTAAAATTAAAAATTAATAAATAGAGGGTACTTGATCGGCGCCGCCATAATGCCAGTGTTCGGCGTAAGATTGGATGGAATTTTTTTTTTTTTTAGGTAGAATGAATGGATATAATTATGGAAAAGTAATCATCCATGTAGCGCAAAATAATCAAATTGAATGATAAAATTTAAATTATTTTTCATCAATTTTTCTAATATAGTAAATGATAAGAAAAATTTAAGTTTTGCTATTCTAGTATAATAATTTAATTTCAAGCTAAGATATTCTAATTACATGGTTTTACAATCTAATTTAACTTTTAATTTTTTTTAATTAATGGACCGAACTATAACGCATACAATACCATAGATGTATAAAGAAAATAACAAGTAAAATAAACAAAAAACACTTGACATTAACATGATTTGAAAAGATTTTAAAGTTGACCGTGGAGAAGCTATTACCTGACATCCGAATTCTACATTGATGATAAAGTGACCTCGATAGCTGTCCTGTAGTTAGAAGAATATAGAGTTAAAACAAGCAATAAAGATGCAGTGAAGCGGGATCCTTTTATCTGTAGCAAAGTGATCTAGTTTAGAACAAAGCATAGACATGCATTTGCAAAGAAAGGATGACTATGTGATTCTTTAACCTGTTTGGTTTGACTTCATATCTCTTCTTCCCATTCAAATAAACTAATATGGCATCAGTGCAACACACGGTGTATTTTTGTACCTTAAAATAATTTTATTTTAGAATGTTAATCAATACAAATATAAAAAAATTACATAAAATAAATTACAATATTAACTAATAAGATGGGTGTAGAATTATAAAAACAAAAGCTAAAGAATTCATCATGAATCCTCAAATACCCAAAATCATGGTGGCTTCTTTCTCCATACCTTTTGCCTCTTTGTTTTGACTCATTTACTAATCTTCTTTGCTTTGTTTTGTTTTCACTCTAATAAGAAAACAATCATATTTGATCAAGTCTAACACCTAATAATTGTTGAAATATCTTCTTTGTAGACCACAATATACTTTATTATTTTTATTATGCTGATATTGTGATTTTGTATTTTTTTCTTTATTATTTGTAGGTTTATCTAATAATTAGATAGTTTGTAATGTTTTTCTCACATATAATTCATGAAAAATTAAGATTATAAGGTAAATATAAAAATTGCATGGCTCCATCTTTTTTATTAAATCATGTGAGGGTAGAAAATTTTTTGAAGTACTATAATTTTTATGATTTATAAATATCAACAAATAAATATTAATATATATTGAAAATTTAATTTTCAACACAAACATCAATATTTTCAAACCTTATAACTGAGATATTACAATATAAAATATCATCAAGATCAAAACACAAATTTGATGGTTAAGTCATTATCTTCAAATACAAATTCCATATAATTTTAAAATTTAAATTTTATTAATTCATTTGACATTTATAATTCAAATAAAAATTAAAATTAAACATAGATCATTAAAATATCATTTGAAATTAAGAAATTTGGATCACTATAAGTAAATTATTATGAGTATGCTTTTCGAAAAAAGATTTATAAAGAGATGCCCAAAAGCCAAGATATATAAAGAGTGAAAGAAAAATTACTTTGTGTTGATGTGAAGAACCATGTTAATGTATATCTTCCTCTTCAGTCAATTTTAATATACCTGCAAAGTTGTAAAATAATTAACAAATCATCATACAATTTACAATAAATATTCCAAAAACTAAAAATTAAATTTTATGAAATCATAACTTGATGAAAATAGAGTACAGTAAGTTTTTTCAATTCTATTGCTTATGAAAGACAGATTTAGAATGATGGAGGAAAATTCAGTAAAAAAATTACAAAATGAGATATATCAAAAATTGAATTGCTCTTTCAATATCTACAAGCAGATAACAACCTCATCACACCATTGACTTGGAATGAAAAATCATCATAAAAGATGACACAAGGGGTGAAAGAACATTGGTGACGAAGGGAGAAGCTAGAGATAATGAGAGTTTTATGATTTTGCTTATCTTGATGAGGGAATGGAGCAATTGAATAATATTAGGATTGAAAGAAAATCTCGTGTGTTTTATAACTGCTAAATGTGATCGTGTATTTGTGTAATGAAAATTTTAAAACTAAAAATAAGAAAAAAAAATTATGGGAAGTTATGATGATAGGAGAGTGGGAGAGAAATGAGGGAAAATAAGAATTAAAATAACTCATTTAATTTTAAATATAATACTTTTTAATATTTAAGAAGATTTGATAGAAAATCTAATGTGCATGCTAAAATTGTATATTTTAGGTGGTGAAGAAACTGGGAAGTTATGTTAATGGATAAAATCATGGGAGAGAAATTTTAGGGATAAAAGGAAGTGGTTTCTACAACTTAAGATAATATTATTATTATCTATACAAAAATTTGGTATTATGTTAAAAAAATATTTTTTAGAAATTAATGTTGACATGGATAACTTATACTAAATATTTTATTAATCCATACATTTATCATTCATTATTTATTTATTTATATGATTTAATTTGTAAAAAATCATTTAAATTATTATTCATAAAATATCATACTAATTCAAAATTATTCACAAAATGACAATATTCAGAAAATTATATTTGAGATCATGAGAGAGAATATCAAAGATAAATTTTTAAAAATAAAATTTTAAATTATGAATTAGTTGAGAAATTATATTTGAGATTTTGAGATCATGGGAGAGAAGTTAATTTTTAAATTACAATCTTATAAATTAGAAAAAATATTTTTAAAAATTAATAATGATGTAAATAGCATAGAATTGTAATATTTAAAAAAAACTCATACGTGTCAAACTTGAAAAAGTATTTCTTATTTATATATATATATATATATATATATATTCTCATCAATTTCTACATGAATCATGGATCTAAGAAGTTATTAGAATGATAAAATAATCTAAATAACTATCTATATTTAAATTTAATTATATGCATGAATTAACAAAATAACAAATTAAATCGTAGAGTAAGGAGGTTATTAGAATGATAGGATATTGAATAGCTAACCATATCTAAAAGAGGAATCATGAGATTAGAAAATTATTAGATCATGGGTTAAGAAGTTACTGAATGAATAATTTAAATAACTATCCATATTTAAATTTAATTATATGCATGAATTAACAAAATGACAAATTAAATCATAGAATAAGGAGGTTATTAGAATGATAGAATACTAAATAGCCAATCATATCTCAAAGAGGAATCGTGAGATTAGGAAATTATTAGATCATAGGTCAAGAAGTTACTAAAATGAAGGAAGAAAAATAAATTATATTCATGAATAAAAAATAATTTTGTAAATGGAATCTTATGTGGCTTTCTAAAATTGTAGTATTTAAAAAAAATGACACTTGTTATCCATAGATATGTACTTGTTATTCTTCCATTATATCTATGGATTGCTATGCTAGTCTAATAAAAGGATAATCTTTTTTTTTTCTACATGCAAGAAACCATCCTAGGAGGTGAAGGATCTGCTAAGGAATTTAAGAATTTAAGATGCTTGCAACATTTTACTAGATAAGTTAACATCTTTTATCTTATGACAATGCATGTTAGTTAGAAATGGAGCTTAATAACTTTTGATATTACTTTTACGGGACAGATTCTTATGTTGTTGTGAATGATGCAATTCTTTTTTTACCATAAAGGTCTAGTTAGGTACAAAGGTATGAGTTTCAATAGATTGGG